AATGCCCTTGGCTACTGAGCCCAATCCCTCTCCCAAGGGATACCCCTGAGTCATAATTCTCTGTCTCACACATTCCTTCTAGGAAACTCAGCTCAGCACGATCCCACTGCACAGAAGAGCACAGGGCATATGGCAGTCAACAAGAAAACCCATTTCTTTCTTATTTTCTTGCTAAGAAGCCCAGGTTGGCCTCAGCCTCCTGGGGTCACAGGCCTGCTCCACCATGCATTTTTCTATTCTGTCTTCACAGATGCTGCCAACGATCGTCATCCCTCTCTATGAGCTGGCACTGACAAATTCAGAGATGTAGAGAATTGCTCCAAGGTGGCCCAGTAACTAGATCAGAGATTAGCAACACAGACGCCTGTTTCCATGCCAAAGCCCCTATTGTGAGCCCTGGGTTCTAGCTTAGAGGCTCCCTCTTGCTCCTAAGCCTCTTATGGTTAAAACCCTTACAAAGTCTACAGATTATTAAAGCAGTATTTCTGGCATGGGAGGGTGCTTTGGAACACATATGCTCGAGGTTACCAAACCCTGAGCCAGCCGGTGAGTTTCCCACATCCCAGGAACTGGAGGATCCTGGCTCTTACAGGCACCTCTGGGCATCCCATGTGTGCAGTCTGCCCCCCAGTGGCCGATCTTGGAATTGCCCAGAAGCTGGTTCTGTAGGTGCAGGATGGCTATAGAAGGGGTTGGTTAAGGACAAGCTGTGGCAGATGACATCTCAGAAAGACTTCTGGGTAGTTATCTGGAGAACAGAAGGCGTAGACCACATATGGGAGCCAGGAGCAGCCAGGCAGACGCTTCACATACTCCAGAGACAGAGCCTGAACACAGGAGCCACCAAGCATGGAGCCCAAGCAGGTTCCACTACCTCCTTGGCTGCCCCATCTCCTGCAGGGACTCCAGCATTTGCTCACTGATTTTTTTTTTTAAATTCATTTCTTGTTTTGTAAGACAGGGCCTCGCTCTGCAGCCCAGGTTGGGCTCTAATAATCTTTCTGCTTCAGTCTCCTGAATGCTAGAGGTGACCGGCAGGCATCAGTGAGACTGGCTTATTTTGGTTCGTTTGCTTGACAAGAGTCTCATGCAGCCCAGGTTGGCCTCTAACTTGCTACACAGTTTAATTATTCCTGGAGTGTCAGATTCCCTGCTCTCTGCTTCAGCTGTACCGTTTCTTTTTTTGTTTGTTTCTTTTGTTTTGTTTTTCGAGACAGGATTTCTCTGTAGCTTTGGAGCCTGTCCTGGAACTAGCTCTTGTAGACCAGGCTGGCCTCAAACTCACAGAGATCCACCCGCCTCTGCCTCCAGAGTGCTGGGATTAAAGGCGCGCTCTACCACCACCCAGCTTCAGGTGTGTTGTTTTAAAGGGGGAGTAAGTAGGGGCGGGGTGCTAAGGTTTGTAATTTATCCATGCCCCTTGTAAGCTTCTGATAGCAAAGCCATCTGAGAAGATGGGCATCGGGCGGGCACCTCCACTAGCACCCCACCCCAGGACCCTGGTGCCAAGCACACACACAGCAGGCTTTGGGCAGATATTCCCGGAACCGTTGGTCTCTAAGAAGGTTGACATTCACCGGGTCAGGGCCGAGAGGGAGGGGACCTCAGCAATCAGAGTTAAAATCTCAAGTGTCCCAAAACACTTAGCATCAACTGGGGGTAAAAAGCATTCTAGGGGTACTGAGATGGAAAGATTGAGTGCGTGGTTGTCACGCTGGGGGTGTCCTGGTTTCTAGCGCTGCGACAGCAGCAGCATGGAGGAAGAAGGGCCATATGACAGCTTCAAGTCGCCATCCATCACTTTGGGGAAGTTGAGGCAGGAACTCAAGCAGCTACTCTCATCCCATCCACAGTCAAGAGCAGAGAGAAACAAACACGCCCGTTCCGCCGGCTTGCTCACGCTTAGCTAGCTTGCTTCTGTCTTACACAGGACAGGGAATGGCACGGCCCACATTTAGGGTGGGACTTCCCACTGCGGTTAACAGTCAAGGCAAATACCACACATGTGCCCCCGGGGCCAGCTGGATCTCTGCAAGCCTTCTCTGAAACTTGCTTCTAGCTGATTCTACGTTGTGTCAGGTTGAGAGCCAGTACAGGGGGCTTCCCAGAGAAGTTAGTGTGGCTGGGACAGAGTTGATTATGAAAGTGAGGCCTGGATGAGGCAGGAGAATGGCCAGGGATGACACACACACAATTGGCAGTGTAGGATGTGTGAGACGTACAGAGGTCCTCCAAGGAGTTAGGAGCTACCCTGAAGGGCCTGCAGGTCAACCCTCATGGGAGCTACAGAATATTGCTGGCCAGACAGGTCTAGAATCTCAGACACACGGCTTCCTCTTCAAACAAATTTAATTCTTGAAGTCAGGTGTGGCACACACCTTTAATCTCACCCTTTAATTCAGGGACTGGGGTAGGTGGAGCTCCGGGAATTTGAAGACAGCCTAGTCTACAAAGCAGGTTCCAGGACAGCCAAAGCTCAGAGAGACCCTGTCCTGAACACCCAAACGTTGTTTATTTATCTATTTTTATTTTTAAAGCAGAAGCTTTTAGAAATAGGGAATGGTAGCAGACACCTGAACCCTAGCCCTGGAGAGGAGGTTGAGGCAGGATTGATTGACTAGAGTTTAAGGTCGGCTTGGGCTACATGGCAAGACCCTGTCTCAGACAACAAAGGAAGGGCTGGGGAGATGGCTCAGTCAGTGAAGTGCCAACACGAGGACCCGAATCTGCGTCTTTTTTGTTTTTATTTTGTTTTTTTATTTTTTTGAGACAGGGTTTCACTGTAGTTTTAGAGCCTGTCCTGGAACTAGCTCTTGTAGACCAGGCTGGCCTTGAACTCACAGAGATCTGCCTGCCTCTGCCTCCCGAGTGCTGGGATTAAAGTCGTGCACCACCACCGCCTGGCGAGTTTGAGTTTTAGTACCTTAAGAAAGCAGGGTGTGGTAGACAGAAAGACAGACACACACACTGCAAACCAAAAAAAGGATCCTTTCCCAGGAGCCAGCAGGGGGCGCTGTAAGTGGCCATCTCCCAGATCTAGACCTCAACAGGGACCACCAGGCTTTGGGGCATCTCTACAGCTCAGGCCTCTTCCACACCCCCGTGGGGGAACCTTCCCATGCTAGTTCCCAGCATGCCGCAGATTGGGCAACTAGCTTTTGCAAGCGGGTTATTTCCACTCCCCAGCTTTCTATAAATGTGGAGAAAGATCAGTGGGCGTGCCAGCCTACTGGGTAAAAATACCCTGCATGACTGGCGGCTGACAACGGATGGCATTGATCCCTGCACACTGCTCGGCAGGGGAAGAGTCCCCGAAGCCAACTGGACAGGCCTCCCGCTGTGTGGGTCCTTCTGAGAATGTTTTGGAACAAGCAAAGCTAGCTGGCTGCCAAATGTTACACACTGAGAAGACAGTCACAATAAGTGGGGAAGGTGGCACTGGGGAAGTGGGGTCTGACTCCAAGTTTTGTGTTTTTTAGTTGTTGTTGTTGTTGTTTGTTTGTTTTGTTTTTGTTTTTGTTTTTTTTTTTTTTGAGACAGACTCCCACTATGTAGTCCTAGCTGGCCTGGAGCTTGCTGTGTAGACCAGGCTGGCCTCAAAGTCACAAAGATCCATGTGCCTCTGTCTCCTGAGTGCTGGGATAAAAAGTGTGCGCCACCACATCAGAGTCTTATGTATAGCACAGGCTGGTCTTGAATTCATGATGTAGCTGAAGATGGCCTTGAATGCCTGATCCTCCTGCCTCTGTGTCCAGTCCTGAGATTAGAGGTGTTCATGCAATGTGAGGGGGCGAAGCTTCTTGCACACTGGGGGAACAGGAGCAGAAGGTGGAAGGAAGCGGCAGGCCAGGCTGGAATCTCCACATACCCGCAAAAGCCAGATAAAGACAAGCATCTGCCGGGCAAGGAGACCTCCACAGAACCCTAGCCAGCCCGTCCCAACCCACTTGAGCTTCCAGACCCCTGAGCAGGGATGTCTGCCTCTGAGTGCTCCCATCCCCGCTCTGGTGCAGTAGAAGCAGGCACAGACCAGGAAAAGACACAGGAAGCTGGGCACAGAGGTGCATGTCTCTGGTCCCAGCCATGCAGAGGAGGAGGAGGATGGAGGATTCCCTGAGCTCGGAAGTTCACAACTGACCACCTGAAAAGCTCAGAAAGGCTGGCTATTCCTGGTCATAGAAATCATAAATCTGGATATGGTGGGGCATGTCTGCTACCCCAGCATTTGGGAGGCAGAGGCAGGGGGATGATGAGATCTAGTCCAGGTCGGCCTTGCAAAGCTGATGGAGGGGTTAACGTGAGAGGGGCAAGAAGAGAAAGGTGCAAGGTGAAGAGGAAGTGCAGGGGTTCAGTGGGTACAAGAGTTTGCTGTCAAACCTGAGAAACTGAGTTCGATCCCCAGGACCCACAGAGTGAGAAAAGAACCAACTGTTGCTGGTCATCCTCCGACTTGCACACCCGTGCCATGGCAATGGCCCCCACATAAAACTAAAATTAATTCTGAAAAAGGGAGAGGGTGTGGGCCGTGGCAATTAGAGCTGCTTTGTGCGGTTTTTGGCGTTCTCGGTGCAAATTTCTTGCCCAGGTCCTAGTGAGTCCTTTAAGGGAAAAGCATGGTTTTATTCTAAACCAAGGATACTAGGGGGAAATGCCTCCCTTATTACTGCTTGAACTTGGGACAAAACTTTGACTTTTCCTCCCAACCCTTCTCCTAGCTCCTCCCGGGCCAGGTGGGTGAGGAGGACGCTCCTGCCCTGGGAACTGACTGTAGAAGACCAGAGGGGCTCCACAGGGCAGAGAAAGGACACAGCCAGCCTGACACTGGTGCATCTGAGCCACGTACCACTTCAGGCTTGAAGTGGAAAAAGTGGCTAGGGGTGGGTGCTGGCCTGACACCAGGATACATGCTTGGCAGCCAGGGGGAACATGACCTGAATGAGTGGAGTGGCCTGGACCCCGGAGCCCCAGCCCTGCCCAGCAGACAGTCACAGAAGGCAGTGTTGAATTCGTGAAAAGGTTTATTGCTTCAGTCATGAGTTCCAAAAGATGATAAAATTTCTCTTCCAGTAGAAAAAGGGGCAGTTGCGGGCAATGAGCCTCCTGTCCCCCACCGTCCAGGGAGGTACACCAGGCAACCAGGCCAGATACCAGGGGACAAAGTGCCAGGGTAGACGGTCCACATCTCTCTACCTTTGACACCACACCTGAAAACTTAGGACCCTGAGGGGCCTGCCACCTTGGCCACTTACAGTGGCCAATTCAGTGTTTAGGTGACATGGCAGAGACTGGAGGGAAAGGGCCAGATACAGCTCCAGAGTGTGTGTGGAGACCCGTCAGGACCTGGAACTGCTTGCCTGGCCTTGGCACAGGAGGCGAAAGTATGCCCAGCCCCTAGGAGTGACAGATCTGTCTTCTGTGGGGACTGAGGCTTTCAGCCTGAGGGAGGAAGACAGGGCAGCATGAAGTGGAGGGCCTGGCAGGGCCAGCCCCCCACAGGAGGGGCCAGTGGCATCTACAGCCTGGTTCACAGCCACTTAGACGAGAGTGTCTGTGGCCACCAGGCGGCCTGAGCAGGGACTCTGTCCCTGGTCCCTGAGTGTTTCTGCACACGTCTGTGCACATGTATGTTGTGTGGACAGGTGTGACATCTAGGGGCTCAGGCTGTGGCACTGACAGACTGTCCGCTGAGAGAGTCCTCAAGAAGCGGGGTGTAGGGACCAGGTGGCTGGTCTGACCAAGCTACCAGGTTGGGGGGGCTCGTTGTGTCTTTGGGACCCTGTGGAGAAAGAAGAGATTGAGTCACTAGCCTGTCCCCTAGCCCTGCCCTGCCTGTCCCCTCCGCCCCACATCCCACCAGCACGGAACCGACCTCCTCCCCATCACAGTGCTGACGGCCGTGAACTGAGAGACTCCACTCTCCTACACACGGGGACTCCACAGTCCTGTAGGTCACTGGGTTTCATCCCCTCCCTTTAGAGTCGGGGAAACTGAGGCCCAAGAGATTCGCAGGATAGAGTGAGAAGGGCAGTGCAGAGTCCAGAGTGGGCATATAACACTGTCGCACAGGGGAACTAGAAATGGCCTAAATGTCTGTCCACAGGAGGACAAGTTTAAAATAGTCACATGGCAGGCCAGGACCAGCTGTTAAAAATGGCTCTTGTTCATGGAGGTGAGAAACACCTTCCCACCAAATCCCTGCGATGGTGGCCTCTGGGCCTTAGGAACAGTAAAATAGAAGGGAGGAGGGGAAAAGTACAGAGGAGGGGAAGATGGCACAGATGTTGAAAGATTCGATTTGAAAAGACTAGGAAAGGGGGCTTAGAGGTTAAGAGCACTGGCTGCTCTTCCAAAGGTCCTGAGTTCAATTCCCAGCAACCACATGGTGACTCAACAACCATCTGTAATGAGATCTGGTGCCCTCTTCTAATGTGCAGGCAGAACACTGTATACATAATAAATAAATTTAAAAAAAAGAAAAGACTAGGAAAATGATAAGAACACTGGTATCTGTCCCTGTCCGTCCTCCCCTAGGACAGAGAGGCACTGTCACCCCGCATCCCAGGCCTGCTGCGGGTGTGGGAGCATCCTCTCCCTGGACCCAAACCATAAGATAAGCCACAGCACCCCAGCATGTGAGAAAGTCTCACTCAGAAGTAAAAACGGGGTGCTGGGGTCGGAACTCAGAGATGGAACACACTCAGTAAAAGGGCTCTGGCTTCAATCTCCAGCACCCACAGACAGACAGACTGACAGACTGACAGACAGACAGACAGACAGAACCCGGAACAAAAGGGGGTACAAGGCATAGCAGTGGTATGTGCTTGGCATCTCAGTACTGGGAGACTGGGGCAAGAGGATTGCTTACAAGTTCAAAGCCAGTCTGAGTGACTCAGCATGCCCTTGTTGCCAGAGAGTAAAACAAGAGTTGACTGTTGCTGGGTCTTTCCCAAGAAAAATACACGCAACAAATCCACAAGGCACTGGACAGCCAGGGGAGCCAGGGCAGCAGATTTCTCCTCCCCTCCCCCATCACCGTGTTTGACAGAGGACAAGGAGAATGGGAGACAGACCAATGAGACAGCAGTTCAGAGCACTTCCCCAAAGGCCACTCTGTACCCTTGTCTGTTCACGGCACCTGGCTACAAAGCCAACCCCTGCCTGCCAACCTCCCCTCCCCACCCCCCCACCCTGCCTTACAGTAACACCCGGAGGGAGAGCATTTTCCTTCATAGAGTCATGCCCTTTGGGCTAGCAGTGGCCCTATTTTCCTTCTCTTTCAGCAACGGCAGGCACCCCCAGGGGCCACTCCCACACCCAGGTGCAAGGCAAAGTGTGGGGCCTCACCAAGTCTTACTTGGCTAGGCAGTGAGGTGGGGTAACCCCCTCTGCAAGGACCCACATGTCCACCCCACATGCTGAGTCTGGTCTTTGGAAGATACTGCCCTCCCTAGCCAATGGCCAGGGCTGGGGTGTCCCCTGGAGTGGGGACTCAAACCACTCTCCAGAGCCCAAGGGAATCTTGAAGCCAAAGGCTGGACCAGGCTGGGAAAATAAAGAGGAAACCCCAGTTTCATTCATTTTATAGGGTCTGGACAGGGTGAAGGCTGTGCTCCATCTGGACTAAAGGGACTAAGGGATCTCTGCTTGGAGTCTGTATTTGCACCCTGGGAGTCCCCTACCTCCCACCCAGGATGCCTTCCCTGCCCTCTGGCAATACCAAATATCACCTGCAGAGGGCGCCACAGCCGGAAGGCAGCAGATACAAGACCTCACCCTCCACCCCTCCTGGAAGTTCCCTCGGACAAGAACCCTTCTTCAGCTCCACAGACACGTGGGGACCCAGTGGGCCGCAGAGGCCCAGTCGGGCCTGCCCACCCTCCGCTGGGGAGGTGGCACCTACCAGGACAATCACACCCACCAGAGTTCTGTTTCATTTTCTTCTCCGACAGCTGACTTTGCTGGCAGTAGCCAGCTGGCTCCCAGAATCGAGCTGTGGCCTCCACCCTCCCAGCTCCCTCCAAGGATGTGTTCACACCCAAGTAGGCTTAAGAGATCAAATAGCAGCTTCTTCTGGGACACAACTCACCTCTGCTAACCTCAAATTGCAGGGCCCATAGCTCTCCCTGCTACTTCCTAGGCAGGGACACACCCTGCAGGGCTCGGCCTCCCCTTGGCCCTGACCCTACAGGACCTGAAGGTCTTGGAGAAGCGCTGCCCTGGATCACCACAAGGTGGGCTGCTGAGTGAGCCAGGACACCAGGCCAGCTATACCTGCGTGGGTGGTGGGCGAGTCGCGGGGATCACCCACCCCAGTACTGCACAGGGCAGACAGCTCTGGACTGTATTGAGCAGTCTTATACATCCCGTATGCTCACCCTGAGATCCTATTTCCAGGCCTGGGCCCAAGTATACAGCTGGCGCTCAACCATGCTTAAATTACTTAAACCCTCATTCCAGACTGGAACCAGTGCGGCTTCTACACCAAAATACCCTCTGAGGTCCAGAAAAATACCATTTCAAACCCTCTGGGCTTCCAGGATGCTCAGGGACCTGCATTTAGCCAACCGCGTGGGATGGAGCACTGGGAAGCAACTGGTCTAACTTTATCTTCTCACGGGACCTTGTAAATGAGAGTCACTGACTGAAGGTCCCAGAAACTGAGGCTAGACGGGCCCCACTGTGATGATGTTGGGAGGGTGGCTCTCCATGTGGAGGACACCCAGACAAATCTACAGGTGGAGAGCGTTGAACAGGTTGATTCGCTACAGGCAAGATAGGGCGCGGGGTGGGGGTGGGGGTTACCTGGTACGCACCTACAGCTTGGCTTCTTGCAGCACCTTGCCCTTGGTAGCTGGTGACATCAGAGACTCAGAGTAGGCCTGAACGGCCTCCTTATCCTGGGAGCCCTTTTTACTAGCACTCCAAAATAAAAAGCATTTCTCCTGGAAGACAACCAAGCTAGTTTATATTCCGCGCCGCGTCACTGGGGAAGGAGACCCTGGATTCCCCAGAAGCAAAGGGGCAAGTAGAGTCCTCCACCCTGCGCCGTGGCGAACTGCCCCGGAAGATGGACAGAGCAGAGCATGGAGAGCCACCAACAGGCAGGGAGGGGAGGAGATGGCCGCAGAAGGGCAAATGTGGAGAGAGCTTGGGTTTCTCTGGTCTGGCTTGGCGGAGCTGGGCTGGACTTGAACCCAGGGCCTGGGGCCCGCTAAGCTCACTTAACCACTTCCCCAAGTACACAGAGTTTTTAATCAGGGGTAACTGTTAACATAATTGTGTTCCCCTTAAGAATGACGTATGTGTGAGTATATTGTTTACCAGCTAGCATGCAGTTAAAAAAAAACGAGACAGACAGACAGACAGACAGACAGACACACACACAAACACACATACACATACACACGAGGCCTACTCTTTTTGCACAAAGTTGGTAGGGTGTGGACTACTGTTATGGCCTCTGATGAAACCTGCAGAGCAATCAGCCTGGACCCCAGACCCTGAGGGGCAGTGAGAAGCCTTCTATTTTTGGATCCCTCTCTTCTCCAAAGGTTGACGGGAAGAGGCTGGCCCAGCTCTCACTGGGCAGCCGCCGAGAAGAGCAAAAGCTGCCTAGAAGCCCAGCCCATGGTGTCAATCAGACACTCCAGGCTACAGTCAACCTGGAGAGGCTCCCAGATGTCCCTTCGAGATGACATGAGACCGGGGCTCCAGAAAGGGAAGTGGGGTGCTGGCGGCCTGAGAGGGACCTGTTCTTCCCACAGCAAGCAAGCAAGCAAGCAAGCAAGCAAGCACACCTTCAGAAAGAAAACCAGCCGACTGACTGGGACAGAAGGGCAGGAGCGAAGGTCCCCCCTCCACCAAGCAGAAAGTCTGTGGCCCCAGGACATCTCCCTGTGGGTGGCCATTGACACCCCCCATCTACAGAAACTGACCCCCCCCATCACAGCTGACCGTCACCCTGTCCGTCCTCAACTGTCCTGGCTTCAGGAGGACAGCCAACAACATCCAACATCACGTGAAGAGACTTGGCCCTGAATTTCGGGCGGTATGTTCGGCTCATTTTTGTAACCCCAAGATCTATGGACACAGCCTCACGAGTGGATATTTGGTCCTAAGATCAGAAGGGAACTAGGATTTTAGT